CTTGTGGGCTCTGCTGAAGTAGGTAAAGACAGTGGTCATTACCTTTGTCTTCCATGTTTGAGGCTTCCTGACCTCTACAAAAGAGCTTCAGGGCACAGCATTTAAAAGGACCACTTCGCTAATGAGAATAAAAACAAAGTCAACATTTAGAAATAAGACATGGAAACCCGACTGTGTTATAGAATTAACTTAGCAGGATCAGATTTGTTTCGTTAAATAATGCCATCAGAGGGCAGACTTTGTTCACGTCAGTAAGAAGACTTCCCTTTAAGGAAAGAGACAGAGTATGCAAAAGGCCATCCCTTGCACAGTGCACCCCGACAGCTTCTCTAATGATTGATTTCGTTTTAAATGTTTTGCTTTTGTAAGTTAGTGTTGGTATTGGAGCCATCAACTGAGACAAAAGACGAAATAGAAATGGAAGCAAGGCCGAGGGGGTCATGGTGAGAAAGGAAGAGGGACATAAGAAAGCTTCGGTGAGGTGGCAGTGTTAAGTTATTTAGCATATTGATATCTCCTGTCATTCACTTGGACTATCCTGATAGTATTGAGCTCTGATCCAGAACTTCACAATGTTGTCCCTGCAGGATCCAAGTTGGGGGGTGGAGGGGAATTGTGAACTGATAAAAGAATTACTGCCTTCCCTCTCCCTCCCACCCCACCTCCCCCCAAAAAAGTTTAGAAAACAAACAAAAAAAAGTAGTGAGAGGGCAGGGTGGAGTTATCCCTAGCCTTCACCCAACCAATCAGGGTTAGCCAAGGCAGTGACATCACCACCGACAGGAGTAAAACCCCTGGACTGGGCGAAATTCGCTCTCTCTCTTCTGCCATGCTGCCGGCGTGAGTGGGACAGAGCCCATGCTAGCATGGAAAAGGCTCATTTGTTTATTGCATCGTACTCAGCTCCCTGGTGGTCCTTGGGGATCACGAAGTCTGAGCATAACAGTAGGGGCAGGAGGGAGACAAATTGAGTTGCCTGTCGCAGTTTTTTCTGGTATGTAAATCTAAGAACACAAAGATCCAAAGCAACATATAATTCTCTAGGAATAATAACTACATGGTTCTCATGCATTTTTAAATATCTCATTCTGAGCATTTTCTTCTCCCTCTGCTACCTCCATCGATCACCTCTTTGGCAACATCAGTCACAGTTCTTTTAGTTGCTTTGATAGCTGGGGACAGATGCATGAAACCATAGTATGTGGATATTAAAACTCCTCCTTATCCATCATGGGAAAGAGCTGCATCTCTTAGACCAAGGTAATTTGGACTCAATTCCCCCACTAGTCCGGGTGGAAAACGCTTGGCAGGATAAGAGAGCCCTGCCTTGAGATGTCCCCAGGTCATACCAAAGGCGGATGTTTCTGTGTGCCTGCGTTCACCTCCTCTGGCGGGAATTCTTCCCGAGCGTGACCACAAAAACACTAGACTGGCCCGATACATGGTGAAGTTGATAAAACTGGATATCGTGAAATGGTTCCTTCTAGCTCTAAAGAAGGACAAAGGAGGGACACAGGAGGATGCCTAGATGATGAACAAATGAAAGAAGTCAGCTACTGAATAGCCACAGGATAACATTTCTCAGAATGTCAAGGTAAGAATGCCCCATTAGTGGGGGAGAGGGGGTTTGAATTAAGAAGTAATCATTTTGATAGAATGCCACACCCTTCAGAAGTTCAGAAAATTCTGGTGCAAAAGAATGTGTGGGGAGAGAGGCCAGACTTTCATTCTTACATTCCGCTCACCAGCAAGTACCTTGTGACACGTTAGGAATGTAAGGAAGATTAGAAGTAAAATAACAACAAAGAATTTTTGGGTTGCAATATCGATTCTTCTCTTAATAACCTCATTATCTTGAAACAAGCCAGCCACACGCCTGTCAGCAATGATCAGGGTAGGTTTATTAGGAGCGGTCAATTACCTCACTGCCTTACCATTCAAAATATAAGGTTCACATGGAAGCCCTCTTAACAAGCCCCAACTTAGTTGTTTCTCTCTAATTGTATATTTGGGGCTATTTTTTTTTTTTATGCCAACACTTTGCCCATTTATACCTGAGACATTTTCCTGAAATAAATCTATTCCCTTGAAAAAGGAAAAGGTGATTTTTAACTTCCCATGTTCTGTAATATGGGAAGTTAAAGTGTGTTCCTGTTGCTGGGTGCTCTCAGTCCCTCTGTTTATCCTGCTTTTGCTCATGCCGGTTCCTGTGCCGCCCATGTCTTCCCCTTCAATCTGTCCAAAGCTGGCCCACCCACACATCCTGGCAACAATGGCTCCTGCTCCCAATGCCCTCCAGTCTTGTATTCCAGGTGGAGGGTCCTGCCTCCCGCTTCCTCTGGAGGAGACCCTGTCATTTTCTCCTCCAGCACATCACACTTTGTTGCCACCTCTTCATTAATGGGAGAGGAGTTTCCAGTTACCTGAAGGCAAGGATAATATTTCTCGTTCCCTACAGAAGCCCCAGCCCTAGGGCGGTGTACAGGAGACAGGGTGTCCTCAGTAAACATGTGTTTAATTGAACAAAAAGGACTGGAGGAGTCACCAGCAGGAGCAGGGCCCCACCCTCACAGCATTAGACAGAGACACCAGGAGGCTGCCCACAGCAGGAGCCAACCCACGGCCAGGCTCCTGCCGACAAGCCTTTCAAAGCCACTTTGACTACATCGAATGTTTTTCTTTCCAGAGAACCTGAAAGGCTTTCCTTCATGTGCGCAGGGCATCCCTAGAAGGTGGTAGTGGCAGGAACTGCCCTGCTTTACAGGTAGGAAAACAGAGACCCCCCAAGAGGTCAAACGGCTCGCCCAGAATCATGGCCATGGAGAAGGTCTCCCACCCAGGCCAACACCGTTTTCTGCAGAGGTGGTGTCTTCTAAAGGCATTTATAATTTTTTCTTTCTGAATTGAATTAATCAAGATTAAACTCTTTGCGGAAACCAATTTGGCTCAGTGGATAGAGCATCGGCCTGCGAACTCAAGGGTCCCAGATTCGATTCCGGTCAAGGGCACGTACCTTGGTTGCGAGCACATCCTCAGTGGGGAGGGGGGGGGGTTGCAGGAGGCAGCTGATCGATGTTTCTCATCGATGTTTCTAACTATCTCTCTCCCTTCCTCTCTGCAAAAAATCAATAAAAAATATTTTTTTTAATTCTAAAAAAAAAGATTAAACTCTTGAATATGTTTTCGACACTTGGGGGCCCTGCGTGATATAATACAGTCGTCCCCCTGGGCCCAGCTCTGCTGATGCTTCTAAGATATGGGCTTGGGCTTGCCATTAGAGTTTTCACTGTCCTAAGCTCGTTATTAAGACTTGCTGCATTGCAATTTGTTTTGGTTGTAAAGATTTGACCCTGGAGCAGCAGTGAAATGAATCAGGTTGGAGGACATGGGGGGTGATGCAGAAGCAAGCTCATGAGCAAAGTAAGGGTCAGAGGGGCCGAGCTTGCCGCTGTACAAGTCATAAAAGGCAGTGCCTAAAATAGCTGACAAGTCCCCATTATCTAATTACGTTGAATTATATGTTCTTGGCGGACTGGAAATGAGAGGCAGGGCACACACTCAGGCAATCCAGTAGCTAACAACTTCATAAATGTGGTCGGGAGCCAGCTCTCCCTGCACGGTCCTGGGCCTTGGAGGATAATTTGCAGGTGTCCTATCCACCTGTTCCCTGTCCTGGGAATCTTGGTTATCAAGCAGGCTGGCAACCTCAGGGGAAGCTTGCTTTCAAAGATAAGGCAGCAACTCCTCTTAGCTGCTTAATCACTGGCTTTGCTGAATCTCACTCTCTTTACACTTAATGTGCACTGGGCCTGGGGCAAGGCAGGAAGTCCTTTGAAGGCTGAAACCTTCTTCCATGCCCTCAGGTTGATAGGCATCCTGTGGCCAGCAGAGCTGGGAACACTCAGGGCCTCCCTGGGTACCTCCCCCTCAGGGACCATTAGGCCAGCACAAGCCAGTAGGACAATCCAGTGCTTTCTATGGACAGAGAGCTGGTTGATGAGGGAGGCCCAGTGGATCTGTTTCTGGACCCAGCACTCTGTCAGGGGTACAGCTGTGAGCTCAGACACAGGCTAGTGAGAGGAGAGGAAGAACCTGAGGACTTCCCATTCACAGCAAAGCCCAGTGACAAGGGAACCCATGCAAATGAATCCTTGAAAAAGAGAATGCCCAGAACTCACAATGAACAACTTCACAAATCAAGGGTCTAAAAACTTAAATTTGAAAAATTTACATTATTATCAGAAAGTTCTTGCAGCCAAAGAAAAAACAGATTCCTAAAATACCCCGTCGGCATCAAACATGCAAGGCTTAGACTAGTCAGATGAGTATTAAACAGGCAGGCACTTCACCACTAGGTCATTTCCAGGGTCCTGTGTGTGTTCAAGTTGTACAAAATGTGCAATGAAGTATTTCTTTTAAAATATTTGTGTCTTGCCGTACCTGGTTTGACTCAGTGGATAGAGCATCAGTCTTTGGACTGAAGGGTTCCAGGTTCGATTCCAAGCAAGGGCACATGCACAGGTTGTGGGCTCGATCCCCAGTAGGGGGCGTACAGGAGGCTGCCAATCAATGATTCTTTCTCATCATTGATGTTTCTATTTCTTTCTCCCTCTCCCTTCCTTTGAAATCAATAAAAATATTTTTAAAATAAATAAATAACTTGTCTTACTTCCAAAGTTATTTCTTTTAGCACAAAATCTGATTTTAAAAAAACAACAACAACAAAACAAACTATTAGGTAAAATGGCTTCTCATTAAAAATAATTCCAACTTTTCATAAGAATTGAGATTAATATTCTAGAAAGAAATGAAGCTCTTGTCTAAATATTTCAAATTTTTGACCCCTTCACAGCAAACATAGCAGGATTACAAAAGGCTTTTCAAAGGCAATTACAGTACCTTGGAAATGAAGGTAGATTTTAAAGTAATTGTTTGTTAGAGGGAGTCTAAGCCCTGAAAAGAAATGGAAAAGAAAACCATTAAACAGGAAAATATCTTACCTTGAGAAGTTGAGGAAATGAACATGTCGAGTAAATAAATAGGGCTGTTCGGCAGTACTTATATTTTTAATCAGTTCCATCTATTAAAAAAAGTACAAAATTAGCATATATAGGATCTAATTTCCCAAGCCATATTAAGCTAAAGGTTATCTCCCAACTCCTTTCATCTTCCCTCACTACCTCCTGGCCCAGGACCAAACAGCTGTGTTTTGTGCAATGTTTATGAACTTGACTTACGGCTTCTTACTGAATAAAACAGTGCTGTCCAGATTTATAGCCCTGTATTTAATTTAGTTGATTGCTACCATGAAAACAATGTGACAGAATAATTAATTTTAACTGGAGAAGTCAGAGTACTGCTGTTCAAAAATGCAAATAAGAAAAATGCCTTTAATTCCTTCCATTAAAGTCACACCAAGACAAGAGGTTAATCATCATGCTATATTTCTATAATGATATTACTGCGAGATGCAGAAACATTTGAAAATCATTTCGCAGAATCTAAAAGTGGGAGTAAAAAAAAAGTGGGAGTAAAAAAAGTGGGAGTAAAAATAATGAATCATTATTTTTCTCTCTCTGAGTATAAACCTTTACAGTAAAGCCAATATTTCATAGGAAACACACAAAACCCCCAAACTCCTTGGGTTCTGGTGGGTGGGTGGTCATCTGAATTATTTATTTACCATATCGGCAAGGCAAGACGTATAGTTTATACTCATATAAACTAACATTTATGGTCTTCTGGAACATGTCATGATACAGGAAACATTCAGTAAAATCTCTGAGAAATTCCAAGCATTCTTATGACTCCCTGGCTTCCTAAATTCTGCTTTCCTTAGATTTCCTAATTGGCTCCAACAAAACTGACACACTGTGGAATTTTTAAGAGGCACATGGAAAAATGGCTACTCTGGCAGTACATCACAAGTCCAGCATTTCATATTTTATGAATTAGTTCAAGTTGAAAACCGGAAAGAAAAACTGGCATTTGTATGGTAAGCACCACAGCAGCAACAACAATAAAACCAGAGCTTGGAACTTCATGCGTCTTCAGCAGAAGACAGAGCCTGGTCTTGCCTTGGTGCCCCTTCTAGTATGACACACATACTATGCTCAGTAAATATCTGTTAAAAAAATTAACTCCAACTAGTCATGCTTTATAGATGCTACACTCGGATGCCAACGTCTTATCCTTTTATTAGATATTCATACAATGGTTGTTTGAAGATATGAAATTGAATTTTAAAGTACATGACTTGTCGTTTCAAAACCCTGTGCTTTTGTTTGTCAGTGGCAGGCACGGGTAAATAATGATCTGTCTAGGCTTGAGCATAAAAGGAAATTGAAATCTGGCTCTTTACTGTTTACCCTCTGCACCCTCCTGTCCCTCCCTTCCCCCCCCCCCCCCCCCCCGACACACACAAGACCTTGATGCTTGTTTTTGGTAATAAAACTTCTTGCTTAGTCACATTGCATATTTGAATTTTTGATGGATCTACCAATAGAATTATTGATTTAGAAGCACAAGTAAAAATCCCTGAGGATGTCTGCTTAGAAACATAACTCTGCTGTGTGTATGTTTAATACAAGCACCACTTAATGCCTTCATCTCTAGACTATTTTTACTCAGGCATTTCTCTGCACACATAAAAGCAATATGAGAAATCCCCCTAGTATTAACAAGAAGTCTGGAAAAACAAGTAATAAGGAAAACCATTTCTTTCATATATTCAACATCATATTATATTCTCCAAACACATGTCAATGTGTTATACTTAACGGAAGAACGGTAAGTGGTTAGATTCTGAGAACAGTGTCACAATAGTCATAAAGCTGTCTATAGTGTCACAATAGTCATAAAGCTGTCTATTCCACAAGGAAAAATTGATTAGCAGTGACAATCCATAACTCTTCCTAGGCATACCTTTAAACATAGCATAAAGGTAGGAATGTTCATGTTTATTGCCTTAGTACAGTGAAGTGAGAACTCACTTCAGCTCTCATACATTCTGTCACTGCTCAGCAAACTGTAAAGCTCCTTAGGAAGTATCACGAGCACTGAGGTTTAGGGCATTATGTTCAAGGTGTCATTTGATGGTTTTCACAAATACTAAGACTCTCCCCATTTCTAGTGATAAGTGATGGTCTTTCGAATCCCTGCTGCCCATCACCTGAGTTATCCCTCTTGGTCCTCCCACTGTTGTTCTTGCTTGAATCCTATCTAAGCGGGTGGCATCATGGGTGGCAATGCACTATCTAAAATCATCACAGAAGCTACCTGTCCTTCTTGTCCTTGGCTCACTTACTGAACCCACTGTATAAATTCATTTTATCATTCATTCACTCATTCATTCAGCATTTAGCATTTCTAGGCCTTGGAGATGAAAACATAAATAAGGTCAGTGGGAAGAAACTTAAAGACAAGACAAAGGAATGCATCCTAATGGTGTCCCCAAACCTACCATGACACAAGCCACACTCTTATCCTCACCCATCTTTAATCCTTATAGCTTATTTCACCTCTGAAGAGTCTCTTTCTGGTCAGCGGTATTCTCTATATTCTCACATTTGATCTGGGTTTTTCATGAATTTCCATATTCAATCCCTTGCTGAGTCACATTGATTTTACCTTTGCTATCTGACTCTCAAGACAACACTTCTTTGGCCAGACAAATTAGATCCCTCCTTATTCTTTCCTTACACTATGTCCAAGCTTGACCACAATATTCTTCCTCTTTTCTTTGTATGTCCAAATCCTAAATGCTCTTTACATTTGACTAAAACGACCACCTCCATCAAGTACACTTTCTGGATCTCTCATTCAGCATCCATTGATTTTCAGCTCTCTGCCAGGCAAAGAATATTTTGTTCTTTTTCTCAGGAAGTTCAGGTGGACTAGAAGGCACATATTATCACATGATAACCACCATGTGTAGAAGACACAGAGATGAGGCACCTATCCCTACTTGGAGGTGGAGAGGTAATATTTCCCTAATGAGGTGTTTCTGAGTGGTTTGCAAGGGCCCACAGGTCTCATTGCTAGAAAAAAGTGGAGCAAGGATTCAAATTCAAGTCTGTGTGACACCAAAAGTCCTATTCTTTATCTGCAATTTACTCACTGTTCCCATTGTTACTTGATCTACACATAACCCCTTAAAGCGGGAGGGAGGGATTGGTTAGTAAAACAAAGTCTGGAGAATTAAGAGGTTTATCAGAATATAAATTTTCTACCTTTCATGTGATTTGCTGCAAATTAAAATGAAACTATAATAGGTGGGAAAGCATTCATAATATAAAATAAGAGCAATAATATATCAGAGATATATTTTTAAAAGTTCTAGGTGGGAAACACTTTATCGTATAATAAGAGTAGGAATAAATTTAAAATGTTAACGAAAGAGAGAAAAAGAGAGAGATAACAATGGAATGGAATGTATCTAAAGGGAGTTGTACATCTGAGAATGAGATAGAATTGAGGTTTTAACTAAAAGGTGAGAATCAAACAGCATTTATAATGCAGAGGATATGCCAGGAAGTAGTTTCTAATCTTTTACTTTCAATCTAACTGGGAAGGTAGAGCAGAAAACCTTTACCTGCAGTTGTGCAAACACAGCAAAGTTAGTAGAAGACTTTGCTCCTGACTTCTTTAGGAAAGAATGCTAGTACTTATGGTAATGACCCTACTTGGGGCGGAATTCCTGTGTTGCTTGGGAATAACTAGATCTAGATGTCCTTTATATAATTTTGCAAAACATCTTAAATGAAAGAAAAGACATGTTTTTAACACATCAAAGCCCAATAAGAAGTAGCTCAGAGGAGAACTCCCTGGCTCTCTAACCTCAGAGGCCAGAAGGATGTCCATAGGCTCAGGTTACCTTTCTCTCTACCTCCTGCATAGGGAAGCCCTTCTGGGTCAGTCAGGATGGTCTTCCCGCCCTCCTGTGCAGTAAGTACAAGAAACAATGCCTGCAATGGAGAAAATGTCCACCAGGGGGCGGAATGACATGAGCAAGGCAAAGAAGTTGGGTCTGAATAGTAGGGAAAATCAATCTCCCCACAACAATTGCAAAGAGGAATTTTTGTTTTTAATTTTTCAGGCCTTGTTGCTTCTTTTTTTTCCTTTTCTTTCAACCAAGTTAACATTAACAGACTCAGCTTTTGCCTCTAGGATTTCAAGATAAGACCTTGTTTGCAGAGTTGGGTGTGCTCATCCCTATGACCTGGAAATGGACTCCACTCATTTTTTTGGTTTGATTCCAAGGTTCAGTGGGAGCAGCTCTGATGCCTGTGGACACTGACCCTCCTACTCTAAAGTCAGGAAACTCTGAGGGTCCTTCTAAGGAGACTTTTCCAAAAGGTCTCAAGTAAGAGTAAGGTTCCTGAGGTAAGCATGCAGGCTCCTGAGGAGACAGCACTCAATAAGACCTCAGGGGACACGTGAGGTCTTCAGAGGTGTGAGGGATTCTCGGGTGAAAGAAGACTTTTTCTTGCTGTGTGGCAGATTCACTTTAATAAGAGGAAAACTTTCTAATAACTAGAACTTTCTATGCAATGCCTGCTCACTAGACTTGTGCATGGGGATCCCCTCAAGAGTTTCTCCCTTCCCCCACAAAGATACCTAGGTTCCACTATTAAGAGTCTAACACAATACTTTGTAGTAGGACCTAGAAACACGTGTTGTGAAATATCTCCCAAGGAGATTTTGAGATCCATTGTGGTTAAGAGTAATATTTTACTGGTTTCCCACTGCCCACTAAATAGTGTTCTAATTCCTCAGCCTAGCATTAAAAAGTTCTCAGGATTCCACTCAACTTCATTTCTAAGCCTTCTCCTCCCACATTCTTCTTGAAGATCTGTTGCTTCCTATAAAACGGGGTGATAATACTTTCCTAATTATGCAGCTTAAAGGATTAGAAATAAGATGCACACATCTCTCTGGAGTGCTCCCTGGGGCTCAATAGACAGCGTTAATGGTAGGTGCCCAATGAATAGCCATCAAAATGAATGAAAAAACAATGAAGTGACTTGCTTCAAAATGAATGAGTGAACTTTTACCTTTCAACTAAGAAGACCGAAGAAG